AATGTTGGACTTCCTGAGATTTAATTTTAACCCAGGTGTCGTCAACATACCTGAACCAATGACTTGGTGGTGTCCCTGAAAAGGACGTCAAGGCTCTCTTTTCTACCTCCTCCATGTACAGGTTGGAAACAATAGGAGAAACTGGAGACCCCATAGCACACCCATGTTTCTGCCTATAATATTGCTCCCCATATGTGAAGTAGGTTGACTGCAGGCACAGTTTCAAGAGTTGACATATTTAAGAGACTGAGCTGAAAACAGCACCTCAGACTGAAGAAGTCTCTCGGACGAGAGATGAAACGTTTCTACATTTTTTGTTGTTTTGCTTTGTTTTTTTTTTTTTTTTTTTTTTTTTGAATGTCCAGAGGACCAGATTTAACTTTTTTAGATTTTTCTACCTGGATTATTGAGCATGCATCAGGATATTCATTGAAACACTTTGGCTTCTTTTACTCAGCGCGTCTCTCGCTGCTTTAAGACTTGTCGTCTTTCTCCAAAGCCTTCAGAATTAGACCTGTCACGATAAACAATAAATCAATTAATCGCATGATAAATGAAAATTATCGACCTCGTTTTCATTTATCGGCTTTATCGTTTCTTGGTGTCTCTCTTTCTACTGAAGACACTGGATGACAAAAAGCTCAACTCCGGTGCTCTTCACTGACTCCTCCCTTTCTCTTTAAAATCTATTTTAACCGTCCAAAATCACGTTTATGGATCGATAAAAGCAGCTAAGCTACAAGCTAAGCTAACAGGCCGACCTCGGGGAAACAAACCTCCATCTTGTCGAAGCTCCAAAATTCACGGTTGAAACTTGTACCTTTGTGTAAAAACTTGTTTTTCTCTGCAAAAAGAAGTGAGAACTTCTAACATTTTTCAGTCAGGTCATCTGGACAGTTTCTTTTTTTGTGCTGAAACGTTTCACTTTCCATCCAGAAGGCTTCATCAGTCCAGGTTTGGTTTGTTCCACTTTGGAGTAAGCTGTTGGGGGAAGAATCAGTTTTGTGTTGTGTGTTTCCTTGACTGATGAAGCCTTCTGGATGGAAGGTGAAACGTTTCAGCACACAAAAAAAAGAAACTGTCCAGATGACCTGACTGAAAAATGTTGGATTGTATACCTGGATTATTGAGCATGGACTTTGATGAAGCTGAGAACTTGTTTACGGATTTTTTTTTAATTAAAAGCTTTGTGTGAAAAATGCTATGCTAAAAAGCTCAAACCACAACGAGCAGCCGTCATTTTGAGAAACGAAAAACAGAGAGACAGCCCATGTCATGTCAAGGGGCCTCCCTCCCATTTTTCTTAAAGAGACACACTGCTTACTCCCTCACTATCCATCCTTCGGTTCAAACTGTCTTATACTACCATCCGGTGGTCAAAAAAGGTACTGCACTCAAAACAAATTAACAAACATTTCTTCTTAAATTTGACAATAATTACTAATTATTGTCAAATTTCAAACAATATTATCGTTTATCGCAATAATTTCTGAGACAATTAATCGCCCAGCAAAATTCGTGATCGTGACGGGCCTATTCAGAATACAGAGACCACACCCAACGTTTCAGAGACTTCAGGAATATTTTAGCTCAAAATATTCTGATGGGTCTTAATTTACATCTCCAACACTGAAGAGACAAACATTGCACACGAGTGACCGTCAGAGTTTTGTGCCGCTCTCGGTTTAAAAACAAACATCAAACTTGTAATTTTTGCACAGCAGCTGACTGAGCCTTATCTTTCAATCTGCTTCTGTTTTCCTCAGAAGCAGCTGTGTGGTTACCATGGCGACCGTAGCATCTCTTTGTATCCTGGCTCTCTGTGCACTTCTGGAACAGTTCAAACATCCAAATGTTGCTGTTTTGTTTTTTCTCCAACTTATATTGGTCTTTTTAAAAATGTATCTGGACTCTACAAGGCAGAGCAACATTTTCTCCAAAGAGACGAAAGAGTTAATGAGGGGGAGGGCGCGCGCGCGCTCACAGTGGGGGTAGTTTAGTATAAAAGCAGCAACACCAGCCGTGCGTCCAGGTCCAATCCGGGTTAACTGGAGTCTCCAACTCGGAGCCAGAGCTGTGGAACAGAAACTTGGAGGATCTGTTTGTTTGTTTGTTTGTTTGTTTGTTTGAGGACTTTTTGTTGTTCCGCTTCAGTCTCTGTGGAGATTTGCTGGATGTGATTATGAAGCGGCGCAGAGTCACGCGGACAACCCGAGAAGAAGTGCGCACAGCGGATGGAGCGGAGGCGCACGGACCAGTGGCGTGAGGCTGTGAACCACTGCGCACACTTCCAGTTTGCCCCCATCTTTCTGATCACAGGGTGAAGGAGCGCGCGCCTCAGGACAGGGAGAAAAAGGCGCGCTGGAGCCCAAACCGACACTTTTCTAAAACTTATTTCCCGCGTTCTTTGAACTTTGCCCCCTCTGATTCCCGACGTGGCTCCGAAGTGGTGTTGCGGTGCCTCGTCCCCGGCGGATCCAGAGATCGGAGTCTCCGCGCCGGGAGGAGGCGCTCCGGCCGCGCCGCGCGAGGCTCCGAAGCGCGGCCGCGTCAGGAGGATGGTGCGCGTGGCGGCGGAGCTGCTGCTGCTGCTGGGCCTCCTGCTGCTCACCCTGCACATCACGGTGCTGAGGAGCAGCCCGCTGCCGCGCGACAACGTCACGCTGAGCCTGGAGCAGGACGCAGCGCTTCCAGAGGTGAGTTGGGGGGGGGGGGGGGGGATGGACGCACCCAGGGCAAAGGATGATCCAGGGTCAAAGATCAGCCCCCCCACTGCAGACCCCCCCCCCATTGTTGAGGTTTCACCACGAGCTGCAGGCACTCCTCTGTCATCACTTGGTAAGTCAGAGGATCAGAGCTGACCCCCCCATCACCACCACCCCCCAAGACTCTCCTCCGGTGTGTTCAGCATATTTTGGTTTCATCCAGACAAAAAGTTTCAAACCTCTGATGCTGCGTCTGTTTGTTGTGACAAGGTCAAATGTAAATAAGTAAATAAATAAAAACTGAATTTAATGATGTGCAAATTTAACAAACCCACATTTTATTCACGTTCAACATTTTAATTGTCAACTAAACACTGACGGATAATTATTTATACTTCTCTGCACTGATGGAGTCTTTCCAGATGTGTAAGCTGCTCATGCCAGAGGCACTAATGCACCCCCATACCATCAGAGAGGCAATCTTTTGAACGGTCCTATAATAACAGAACAGATGGTCCCTCCCAGTGTCTGTGGTTAAAAAATATAATGGTTATAATTTGGATCCATCTGGCCTCAGAACCGTTCTGGACTTCACCTCAGTTCATTTGAAACGAGCTCTGGTCCAGCGAAGACGGCAGAGGTTCTGGATGGTGTTCACATCTGGCTTCTTTGTCTGATAGAGCTTTAAGCAGATGAGCTGTTTACAGAAACGATCTGTAGAAGTGTTGCTGAGCCCAGAACAGAACCAGACCTGGTTTTAATGCAGTGACCATCAAATATAGACTTTGAGCTCAGAGGTTTCTACAGATTATTTGAATCTGTTGATGAGATTATGAACGAACAGGAGATGATGGAATATTCAAAGTCTTCTTATTTTTTATTTTTAATTGAGGACTTTTATTCTGAAATCATTCCACTAATTTTAGACGTGTTTTCTCAGACCGGTGAACCTCTGCCCGTCTTTACTTCTAAGACTCTTAAGAAATGATGTGATTATTTTCAGTTTTCATGTTTCTAGTTAAACTAATTCGTTACCAAAATCTCCTCCAGCTGTTTTTTATTCGCACCACTTATTTTTACACGCTTTCCTTGGCCCCGTCCCAACTTTTTGAGAAGTTTTGTTGCCTTAAAATTAAAATTTCACTTTCTTTCTTTTTTTCAGTTTTGGTACAATTTGTTTAGTTTCAACATCTGGTATGTTTACTGTGTTTCACTGAGACTAAAATATGGATTCAAGAGATTTGTAAATCATTGATTTCTGTTTTTATTTTAATTTTACAACACCTCATAACTCTTCCCCCCCCCCCCCAAAAAAAAAAAAACCTTGGGTTGTAGATCAGGATTAGAGCGAGCCAACAGAGACGTTTGTCAACGTGACACTAGGCCTGTCGCGATAAACAATAAATCAATTAATCGAATGATAAATGAAAATTATCGACCTCATTTTCATTTATCAGCTTTATCGTTTATTCGTGTCTCTCTTTCTACTGAAGACACTGGATGACAAAAGGCTCAACTCCGGTGCTCTTCACTGACTCCTCCCTTTCTCTTTTCTCTTAAAAATCGTTTTAACCGCTAAGCTACAAGCTAAGCTAACAGGCCGACTTCGGGGAAGAACCTCCATCTTGTTGAAGCTCCAAAATTCACGGTTGAAACCCGTGCCTTTGTCTGAAAAGTTGGTTTTCTCTTCAAAAAGAAGCTGAGAACTTGTTTTAGATTTTTTTATTGAAAGCTTTGTGTGAAAAATGCTAAAGAGCTCAAACCACACCAAGCGTCCGCCATTTTGAGAACAGAAAAAGGAAGGAGAGACAGCCCATGTCACGTCACGGGGCCTCCCTCCCATTTTTCTTAAAGAGACACGCTGCTCGCTCCCTCACTATCCATCCTTCAGTTCAGAGTTAAACTGCCATACGGTGGTCAAAAAAGGTACTACACACAAAAATAACATTTCTTCTTTATTACTAATTATTGTCAAATTTCAAACAATATTATCGTTTATCGCAATAATTTCTGAGACAATTAATCGCCCAACATCATCACAGGTCTAAGTGACACCATTTAAAATACGTTAAATGTCTTCTGTGGCCATTTTGACATAATTAAATCCTGACCAGAGCGGGTTACGACAGGATCAACAGGCTTTTTTTAGAGCGTTAAGCATCTTCAGCTGGTTTTGTTGTTTCTTTAGCGTCCTAGTGAAACACTTGCCCTCCTCTGAGAGGTAAATGTACGGCCTGATGGTTTCCTATAAGCAATTCTTCGGGGCTCCGGCTAAATGAAAGGAAAGATTTCATAAAAGCATTTTTTTTAAGTCTGCATTATCACTACCATCCACCGACTGACCTGCAGCTTGTGCAAGCCTGCGTTTCGTTGGATGTCAGGCCATGAAAAGCTGAAATATTCCAGGAATTTACTGAATACTTGTCGCGAAGCCAAAAGGTGGAACGGACGAGCAGGATGGAGGAGCGGCAGGGAGTTTCTCCTGAGGAATCTGAGAGGAAATACGAAGCGTCCCATCCCGAGTTCAACGCTCGTGCACATATACGCAGGTTCAGTGATTTTCCTTCTCCTTCTTCTTCGTTTCGTTCGTGAACGCTCGCTTCAGTGGCTCTCCACTGAAGGCGGTGATGTCATCGTCCAGCCGGGCCTGTCGCGGCCCAGGAGGCGTTCTGTCATCTGAAGGTGTCGCATTCAAAACGCCACCGGAACACAAACGGCTCTGCGCCTGAGGGCGAAAGTCTTCATTCTCACAGACCGGAACAGTAGCTTCAGACACTCAGACGGTGAACATCCACAACACTAGTGTGTTACTTTTTTTTGCTTCTGAGCTTATTTGTCTTTTCTTTCCAGTTTTCGTGTCGTCTCGTTGGGTAAATAAACATCAGCGTACAGGTGCAGCGTGGCGGAGGGAGGGCGACTTCCTTCTCCACCGACGCAAATGTGCTGAAAAGCATCTGGCACAATGCAGAGCGCCTTCATTTCCTGCCAGCCTCCTTTGGGGATGGGGGGGGGGGGACTCCCCAAGTGGCTCCCAATTCAAAATAGTCATGCCACTTTAAGCAGTTCCTCACAAAGTAAAAAAAAAAAAAGAAAGAAGTGGAGGGGGGGGAGCGGGAAAAGAAGAGGCGCTACAGCAATGGAGAGACAGGGGGAGCAGTGGGGGGGACAACCCCCCCAGATGAACCGATCACTGGTGTGTCACTTTTGATCTCCATATTAAAGCACGTTCCTCTCAGATGAGTGATGGGATTGTAAAGAGGGCGGCCATCAAAGCAGATTGTTTACCATTGAAATGAGTCTCTGCTGTTTGTTCTTCGGCCGGGCGGAGAGATAAAAAGACTTGTTGAAAACGACAGAAAGATAACAAGCGGTACACCGATGTCCCCCGTCGTTCAGGGATTTGAATGTTTCCTGTACTGGAATTGATCAGGGAATGCAAGTAAACCTAAATGATTTTAGTCTAAACTATTCAAGTGAGAAGTTGCACTTTGTAGAAGCCATAGGTTGTTTTTTTTTGCTATCCAAGACCAGGCCAATGGTGGAGTTAGGGGGTGGCCAATGGTGGCCTTGGCCCCCATAGTTGGATCTTCAGCCGCCATAAGAGCCACCCGAGTCATTTGAGGAAACTGCGTTTAAGCAACATAAAAACTAGACAGCATAGTGTCTTCTAATGATCGGGGGCAGTTTGCATACCATATTTTTCAGACTCTACGGCGCATTAATTGAAACAAAACAGTCAGATAAGTCAAATTTTATTCAACTCATTCACAATAACTCTCAACATTGTTCAGTTGTAACACGTAAAATCGGTTCGAGGTCAGTAAGCACAACCAGAATTAATATATAAGGCGCACCGGATTATAAGGCTCACTGTCGATTTTTAAGAAAATTAAAGGATTTTAAGTGCGCCTTATAGTCCGAAAAATACGGTATATATTTATATATACTGTGGTGGCCATATTGGATTTTGACATGGCAACCCAATTTTTGATGGAGATATTTTTTACATTTAGATGCAGCCACACAAAATGGAGGTCATTGCTTATTTTGGAAGTTATCTTGCTCACAAGATGGGTGGACATAATTGGTGGTGGCCATCTTGGATTTTGACACGGCAACCCAGTTTATGAAAGGAACTTTTCTTACATGTAGATGCAACCACGTACGAAAATAGAAGCTGGTTTTTCACTTATTTTTCAAGTTATCACGACGCTCACAACATGGATGGACCGACGGAGGTGGTTTCCAATTTCACGTCTTCGCTCCACGACGGGACAATCAACACGTAACATACATCTGCACAACCAACAAGCTCTCAGTCCCTTGACTGATACTCTTCAAAGGGTTCTGGTGTAATTACGTTTAAAGAGATAGTTTGCTCACGTTTCAAGTGATGCTTTGTCTAATATATATCAATGACACCTTATGAGCTGTGACATCAGCTAAAGAGCGCATCGTAAGAAGAAAAGGGCTAAAGTCTTCGTCCAGGCTAGGCTAATGGCTAGCCAAAGGGCACGTTACTTTAAAACCATTTTTCAGACTTTTAGAATGGGCTTACTGGTGTGAAAGGACTCTGCATTAGCCAATATTAAACTTCTACGCTTACTGTTAGTTTAGTTTTCCTTCTACCATTCAACATTTTCTTTCATCCTCTTACCCCCAGTGCGTCTCCCACTGCTATAGGATTTAATGGTTTCTCCGAAATCCTTTCAGAGTGCAACCATCCAAACTCTCACTGTATCTGAACTCAGGATGTCCTCAACAATTGGATTTATTGTTTGATGTTGCAATGACATCAGTTGAGATGAACCCATATTTGCTTCACCAAAGTTCATGCTCAATAGGAGGAGAGGGCGGGCCCCAGAGACCATCTTAGCACCAGCAAACTGTTTTTTTTCCACTATGGAGTTTGATGCTTGTGGGAATCAGTTTCGTTTGGTGGCTTATTGGAGTGAGGAAGTCCTTTGGATAGAGGATGAAACGTCTCAGCAAAAAAAATAAACCGTCCAGATGACCTGACTGAGCATCGTTCCATATTTTCTTCACTTCGTTTTCCGTCACTGCCTTCATCTAAACAAGGCATCATCTCAAAAACGTCTTTAAAAAGTCTCAAAGTGCCGTCGGGCTTCAGAGAAGGACGATGATGAATGCTGGGGATTTCTTTACAAATGTTCCAGTTATTTTATTATTTACTATAAAAGCTGTAAAACATTGATGATCTACAGTTAAAAGCACGTATGACCTCCCCCAGAAAGGGCACCTGTTGCCGTATTATACCGCCGTTTGTTTACGTTGTGATCAAACCTGTGGGGGCTCCAGTGGGTCGCTCCCTCAGCGGGGCTCGATTACAGCCACTGAGTGAAATCTGAAGACTGGGAACTTGAAAGGCCGGGTTATCACATGGGCATCTCAAAGCCCAAGTACTTCTGTCCGAACCAAAGAGGGCCCTGTGACGTGCACGGAGAGAGCAGATGCTGGAGCTGAGCTCTCGGCTCATGGAAACAAACAAAAAAAGAGGTATTTGGAGTTTTAACCGGAATCGTCTTTTTGCGCATTTTCATCCCCGCAAACATTATAATCTTGAGCATAAATGCATACGAGCTCATTATCTTATCTACTGTAAAACCTCTCCGTCTTTTCATTTGGTTTCTGAAGAGCCGTTTCCCAAAATTATAGGTGGCCGTATAATTATTTTAAATGCAGCGCAAGCGCTCGTTAAAAGATACGTGACGTGAAAGTGTTTAAATTCTTAAAAATCCATCACATTATCATATTAAGTCTGGTTGGTGAATGGTGGTGGGGGGAGACAAAGCAATGCAGCTGCTGTCCGCTCAATACATGTACATTTATAATCCCTCCTCCTCGTTGCAGCGTGGAGATCGCCCCAGAGTGCACCTTTGGCTGCACACAAACAGCTCCAGTGGGGGCTTTTATACCCACCACAATGTGGCTGAGCTGACACTTTGTCTGTGACAGGCCACCGCAACCGTGCAGCGCAGCTCCCATATTCTCAGACCTCGGGCTGGCCACAAAAACACTGGGAAGAAAACAAGAGAACTGATTGATGCCTTCCTTTGATCTTATTTTCTGCCACCCCAGAATGGATGATTGCAGACTACTTTTAGCTGTCTGTCCAATTTGGAAATAATTGTTCCCTCTGTGCATACCTGATGGAGGACATATGTCCCAGCTGTCATTTCGGGATGGATTTACAACAGCCCTGTCAGAAAAGCAAATGTTTTTCTGTCTTCCAAGAAGGCATATGTATTTATGTTGCTGTGTTTGCTTAGGTTTGTCTGTGTAGCCCAGCATAAGAGCGTGCTAAATATGTCCGCGACATAATGCTATGGTAAAGTAGGATGCTTTGCCAGTTAAAAATGGAAAAATATACAGTATGGCTGCACATAGGATCTGAATGCAGGCTTGTTAGAGGTTTTATTTTGATGAAAGCTGACAGACACGAGGAAACACAGCGTGAGATTCGTTCCACGACCTCAGTGGCTCTTCCCCATGGAGTTCCAAGTTGAAGCCATGAGCTCAATCTGACGCTGCTGAGAGTAGAAACTTCGTTTGAGACTTTTGTTTGTAACGTTCACTCAAATAAGACGGTGTCTTACGATTTTTATTTTTTTTTCCCTGTTCTTTAGCACAAAACCCTAAGTGCAAGGAGTAGTTCTTCAGTGCAGCTGGCTGCTGAAAGTCGGAAGTCTGGTCCAGAGCACTGGTCGGCCCACCAGCCTGCGTCGCTGCCCTGGGCGCAAGACGGTAACAAAGATGGCCCCGGAGCGTTCCTTCTAGATCTGCAGAACTTCCCGGACCTCTCCAAAGCTGACATCAACAGACAGAATCCCAACATCCAGGTACCACAGGGGTGTGGATGATGTTTGTTTCAATGCATCTTGAAGCGGACTACAGTAGTCCCTCTATTATCGCGGGGGTTACGTTCCAGACACCATGATAGGTGAAAAACCACAAAATAGGAACGCTATATTTATTTTGGTATTTTATATATTTTAAGGCTTTATAAACCCTTCACACACTCTTGCAATGTTCTAAACCCTTAAACCTAAACAGTTTTAACAACATACGTATATGTACTGTACAGTACTGCAAAATTTTATATGGGTACTCACCAGCTCTGCAGACCAGCAGCTCGGTTCTGGTTGGGGTCTTTTCTGGTTCTGCAGGTCTATCTTTCAGAGATGAAGCCCACCGCCCCGTCCAGGTTGATGTGTGCGTGGATAATTGAGCTTCAGGATTATTTGTGACTTTCCTGCCAGTTCTGTGAGCTTCATAGATCGATCGTTACTTCTGACTTTGCGTTGCAAAACTTTCCCTCCATTGAGGCAGGAAGCACTGTTGTCTTCTGGGAAGTGTAGTTCTTTTGACTTGTGTAACAGTGTAGGCTTATTGAAAGAAAACTACAAAATGGTGACGCCTGTCTGAATTTTTTTTCGTTAACTTTTTATCCCGTACCGTCTCAACCACGTAAAATTAAAGTTGACAATTGTGTGTCGTGTACAATCTTGCGTTGAAAAACGCAACAGAGCGAGTCCACGAAAGTCGAACCGCGAAGTAGCGAGGGACTAATGATTCCGAATTGATTTAAAGAGTCAAACATTGGTTTGAGGCAGACCTATTCAACAAGTGACCCATGGGCCAAATTTGGCCATTTTGAAAATATATTTGACTCCCAAAAAGCTGCCCGAGCCCAGTCTGAGGATTCTGTTGATCCTCCCCCGACGATCATGTGTGTCAGTGCACCTGCCTTTGCACTTTGATGCCACCGCTCGCTTGAGACTTGGCTGCTCAAGCACGCGGGGAAAGGAAGGGCAAACAGAAAGGCAGAGAATAGTATGGCGCACATCGTTACACCCATTTTCTCCCTGGTCCTCTTTCCTGTTTCTCCTCTCACACTCCCCAGCTCCTGGTAAAGCCTAGAAAAGACGCCACGTCAATCATATGGACGGCTGAAAGGCAGGCGTGAACCGCCGAAGCCTCACAGCTAACCCCGGAAGATGGACGGTAGCCTTGTGTGAATGTGTGGCATAAATCCCCCGGTGATGCAGATGGCTGAATAACCGCTGCCATGTTTAAATCACTCTTCTGTCGAAATCCAGGCGGGGGCTTGGGGGTGGGGGTCTTTTCAATTCTGAGGGGGCATCATTTCTAAATATGAGCATGAACAAAGTGTTTTAACATCTCAAGATGTGGGATGAGAGAAAAGCAACCAATTGAGCAAGGGTGTGAGGCTGTGGGAGCAGGGGGAATGGGGGTGGGGGGGTGTCTTTGATCCTGGGATTCATCTGGCTTTCATGGTCTGGAGGAGGCTGGGGAGCCCTTTGAACTCTGTGTTTAGGTGGAGAGCCCCAGAGGTGGGAGGGTGACTGAGGGGCAGGGGTGGTGTGTCCGTCTCCCCCCCCCCCCATCTGGGAGGCACATGTGTCAAAGCAGAAAGAAGAGGGGAGGGTGATGCTGTGTGCAGGGGCAGCAGAAGAAAGGGTAAAAACACTGCAATCAATTTTACATTTCTATTAAAAATAAATACTTTTTATAGCTTAAAAAGCAGATACCGATATCATTACCGATATAATACCTATAACATTACGATAATACAGATATCAATACTGATATAATACCAATATCATTACCGATATAATACAGACATCATTACCAATATAATCAGTCAGAGTTTCTTTATTGTCATTCGCACCTCATGTGGTACATGTGGTGGAGCGAAATTATGTAATGCTGATAACATTACGATATAATACCGATAACATTACGATATAATAGCAATAACTTACCGATATAATAGCAATATCATTACCGATATAATACCTATATCATTACAGATACGATACCAATAACATTACGATAAAATACAGATAGAATCCCGATAACATTACGATATAATGCCGATATCCTTACCGGTATAATACCAATATAATTACCGATAGAATACGATAACATTACGATATAATACCGATATCATTACCAATATCATTCCCGATATAATATCGATGTCATTACCGATATAATGCCGACATCATTACCGGTATAATACCTATATCATTACAGATATAATACCAATAACATTGCGATACAATACCGATATAAACCGATGTCATTGCCAATATAATACCAATATCATTGCCAATATAATACCGATATAATGCCGGTATCATTGCCGATATAATACCAATATCATTGCCAATATAATACCGATATAATGCCGATATCATTGCCGATATAATACCGATATCATTGCCAATATAATACCAATATCATTGCCAATATAATACCGATATAATGCCGATATCATTGCCGATATAGTACCAATATCATTACCGATATAATACCTATATCATTACCGATATAATACTGATAACATTACAATATAATACAGATATCAATGCTGATATAATACCGATATCGCTCAACACCTTCCTATACTGTAAAATCGGCAGCCACCTTTTATTATCCACCTGGAAAGGATTTTTTCACTGTATTTATTTATTTAGGAATGCGTGCTTTTGCAGTTCAAGTTACCATGGCGACATAATTTGCGAAAAATAAAATTAATAAAAGAGGCCATATTTCTCACTGAAAAAGAATGACAGAACTCAACTTTCTAACTGACAGTGAGGAGAGAGATCTCTGAGCAAAACTCAGTATGTCATCAAATAAACTATTCCTACCACCACATCCAATTAAGTAATCATTTGGTGAATTTCTAATAAATGGTTACTTTTTGGAGCCATTTTGATTCAAGATGGCTGCTACAGCTACCTCAGAAAAAACAAAATTGACTAAAACTCAGTCATTATTTGAGATATTAGGCTGAAATTTGGTATAGTCGTAGCTGAGAATAAGTTGTTATACACTCCTGATGCAAATCAAGAATCCAAGATGGACGCCATAGCTTAAATAAAAAAATGCCAATAACTTACTGATTATTTTGCCATATTGAGCTGAAATTTGGTATGGGGGTAGCTGGGAGTGATCCCTAACACATAGTAAAGTCAAATCGTGAATTTAAAATGGCCGCCATGTGGCAGTCTCCATCAAAGTTTCTCCAGGAATTGGGATTCCATTGACTATTCTATATGTATGTTGCTATCAACCTAAATGTGGCTCAAACAGAAGAGTGCACCAACGCATCTGATATGTCATGAGAGATGTGATACTACTTTTATTTTACTTTTAAGTTTTCAAGGCGACACAAATCACCAAAAACTGTCACCTACAGAAATGAATGGAGAATGCATCAAAACATGACAAAAGTTAGCACTTTTTGAAATATCTCATGAACAACTGGATTAAAATTTGTTCAGCTTTAGCAAAATGGTTCTTGGACAGTTCTATATGACCGACGAGTATTTTGTGTCCACCCGAATAAAACTGGCCCTTATAGCTGACCTTGAAAATTAAAAATGTAGCTATGCCTCAGTCATTTTTTGAGTGGCTGAGCTAAATTTTGGTGTGAAAGGAGCTCAAAATAAGAACCTCAGCCCTGTGAGGTGTACTATCACTTTTATTAGCATTTCACGTTACCATGACGATGCAGTTGAACAAAAACTGTCTCATAGGTCGTGGAGAATGCATCAAAACGTGTCAAAAAGTGAACGTTCTTTGAATTATCCCATGAACAACTGGTTGGAACTTAATATAACCTTCAAAAAATATTATTGATATGTTCTCTATACCTATTTAGTGTTTTGTGTCCACGTTGTATCTCAACTACTGAACTAATTTCCACCATTTCAAATGCAAAAATGGTTATACAGTAAATCACTAACTTTATTTGTAATCTATTATGGTGGTATAAGAGTGATCTTTAACAGATACATAAGAAAGATGGCTGCCACAGCTGAATAGGAAAAAATCTATAACTCAGCTATTTTTAGATTCATTGAGCTAAAACTGGGTACAGTGGTAGCTGAGTGCAATCACCAACACATGGGGTAGAGGTAGGGCCGCCAACTTGGGATCAGAAAGTCGCGGTTCGACTCCCTGCCATGCCCACATGTTGTGGTGTCCCTGAGCAAGACACCCAATCCCTAATTGCTCCCCGGGTGCTTACATAGCTGCTCACTGCTCCATCTGGGTGTATCCCATGTGTGATGGGTTAAATGCAGAGAACTAATTTCATCATTGTATGGGGACATACAACGATGACAACACATCGCACTTAATACTTACATACTGAATGCTAATCTTTCTTAAGCCATGAAAAGTAATGAAAATGGCTGCGACAGCTAAACGCAGCATGTGGTGGACCTTGTCAACGTTTCTCCAGGAACTTTTCTAATTTGTCTCGTCTTTCTACAGGTGACCATTGAAGTGGTGGATGGAGTGGAGGGCCATCAGCCTGAGAATGGCCTCCGTAAAGAAACCAAGCCCAGCTGGGCCTCTCCTAACTGGAGAAACTGGTGGCCTCACACGTCTTCATCCTCCTCCCATCAAACAGAAGCGCACGATCGCTCCTTCGGGAGCAAAACCCAGGATAGCAACTTCCTCAGGCCACCGGCAGACTGGGACAGGAGGGGAAGCAAAGCTCAAACTGAATATGGTGAGGCTGAAAGGAAGGAGTGTGCATGTGTGTGTTTGCAGGATAATGCACTGGATCCACAGGCCCCTATTTGAGCAATGGTCCCCAGATGGTTATAGTCTGATGTGGAATCTGTAATTTGCTGATTTACTGATTTAAGCTGTCACCATAATAAGTGCAGACATCCCAGGCGAGTCTCTGGGAGCCCCTGATTGAAGCCTTTAACGCTCGTTTATGGGACGTACTCCTCTGTGTTCCAGAGCTAGCTCTGCCACGCAGTTTAAACGCCTCGCTACATCAAAGTTCAGTCTCAGCCGAGGAGCCGGAAACACCGCTAAGGCTTCCACGCAATTCAAACAACACCGTTCAAAAAGCAACCCGGCAGATAAATCTGCCGTGAAAGAATTTGCGCTCACCGTCACAGTGTGGCCCGTGTTGAAGCATGCCCAAACCAACGTGGTCCAACAGGAATTTGTGCGCTGTAAAAATGATGCTTTATTCACTAAAGATTTTTTTTTTTTGTCAAACCATAATCTCGGTCAAATGATTCTGGCTTATCACTGAGGTTGGCTCTCATCTTCTTCCTGTATTTCATACCACACTAATGCAGAGGTCAATATTTTATCATCATAACTGTCATAGTTTGGGACTTTATAGTCATTATTATGGACATTCAGTGGTGATCATCCACCACAAGCCACCAATGAAACGTGGCCTTTTTCCTAAATTCCATTTTTAGTCTGAGCTGTCACAATCACTATGACTTGCATTACAAGCAGAAGGACTTATATTAATCCAAAATGCCTATAATGAAGGACATATGGCTGCAGGGGGTGTATAGGATGTTTTGGACTCCAGCCAGCAAACCTCCATTCCAAAGTGGCCGCATTAAATGCAAAAGACTTGAGAGATTTTAAGGGTAGTTCTTGTTCTGCTGAGTCACGGCTGGTTTATGCCATCATCAACAACACACAGAAACTTCTACTGGTAATGAACGGTCCAGCATTTCTTTATGTAATACATACCATACCCCAGGACATCCTTGTAAGAGATTAATAATCTTAATGGATTTCTTTCCTGGTAAAATAAAGGTTTAAATAAAATATCGCCCACTGCCTTGCATGCCAGTTTTAAACAAAGATCACATGCGATCTGATGGTTCTTGAAGTGTCATCTTCTAGCTCAAAATCGGCAGCTATGTAGGCACCCAGGGAGCAGTTAGGGATTGGGTGTCTTGCTCAGGGATACCATGGGATGTGGGCATTGCCGAGAGTTGAGCCGCGACTTTCTGGTCCCAAGTCGGCTGCCCTACCTATACACCATCTCGGGGCCCCCAGTGACACTTTCGTGAGGGTAGGTCGTCTTGGCGCAGCTGCTCGAAATGTACCAGTGGGTAAATGAGTGAAATAAAGTCACAGAACACTTACCATTCTTTGTCACGGTATCCAAAAATGCCAGGGCCTGGTATAGGCCACCTTCCCTCCCTCAGTTTGAGCCCGTAAATCAAGTCCATTTGGTCTTGCTCCCTTTCAATTCTGTTGTCATCCAATGATCACGGACATGTCTTCACCTCCTCGTAGTACCATGGTGCATTTTGGAGCACTTACCATAACTCACATGTGTTTCACAGAATCTGCTTTGTGGGCCAAAGTCACCTTCAGCCATCAACCATCTAACTTCTCTACATGCTAACTCTGTTCATGAGGTGTTCTGTCCTAGCTTTAATAACTTGTTTTTTTCTTTCTCTCTGACCTAAGACTATATGGATGGAGAGGGAGACTGGAGTAACTGGTCTTCATGCAGTGTCACCTGTGGGAACGGCAACCAGAAGAGAACACGGTCTTGTGGCTACGCCTGTACAGCCACAGAGTCCCGAACATGCGATATGCCCAACTGCCCAGGTAATACTTTTTTTTTTTCAACATAAAGCTAGTATTCTGCTTGTAAAAATACTCAAAGTTTCTGTTTTGTGTTGGTCTTCCTAAAGGTATAGAAGATGCCTTCAGGACTGCAGCTACTGAAGTGAGCCTGTTAGCTGGGAAAAACGAGTTTAACGCCACAGAGCTCTTTGGTGTTGGTAAGATTTTATTTGCTTTTTGTTTTAATGTTGTTTCAGCATTTACATTTTTTTAAATCTTTAACTTTATTTACAAATATATTTTTATAGAAATGCATCACAATGTCTTTAATTTCTTTAAAGACACTGTTCTTTATAAAAATCTGCTTCAACATACTCTGTTTAGTCTTTCTAGGCTACTTTGACATTTTAAGCTACAATTCTGCAACTTTTTCCTTTTACTTAGCCTTTCGCTACTTTTAGGTTTTAGCTACCCTTTAATTCCTTTAGCTTTTAGCTAGCCTTTTGCTATTTAGCATTTAGCTAGCCTTCTAATACTTTTAGCAACTAGATTGCCTTTTGATATTTTAGCTGGTGTACTTTTTGCTTCTAATTAGGCTTTTGCAACTTTATCTTGCATTGTACCACTATTTTTTGCTAGTTTATTTGCTACTTTTAGTTTCTAGCGACCTTGTCTTTTGCTACTTTTAGCTAGTGATTTGTTGCTGTTGGCAATCATTTTGCTTCTTTTAGCTTATAGCCAGTGTTTTGCTTCTTACATTTCAGGTTATTCTCTCTCACATGTCTGGTTTTATACTTTTAATGAGAAGTACCTGAAAATGAAACTTTTTTTTCCCAGACACAGACAGCTGTGAGCGATGGATGAACTGCAAAAGTGACTTTTTGAAGAAATACATGGTCAAAGTGGTAAACGACCTTCCCAGCTGCCCTTGCTCTTACCCCACCGAGGTGGCGTACAGCACCGCAGACGTACACGATGCCCCCACGCGCCGTAATTTCCGCTGGAAGGACGCCAGCGGGCCTAAAGAGAAGCTGGAGATCTATAAGCCCACGGCCCGTTACTGCATCCGCTCTATGCTGACCTTCGAGTCGACCACGCTGGCCGCGCAGCACTGCTGCTACGACGACAGCATGAAGCTCATCACTCGCGGCAAGGGGGCCGGCACGCCCAACCTCATCAGCATTGAGTTCTCAGCTGACCTGCACTATAAGGTGGACATCCTGCCCTGGATCGTCTGCAAAGGAGACTGGAGCCGCTACAACCAGGTCAGGCCACCGAACAACGGGCAGAAATGTCCGGACAATCCCCAGGATGAGGATTACTACAAACAGTTTGAAGAAGCGAGGGAGTTCTAGCCCGACGTGAGGTGAAAAGACAAAAAAAAAGTGCCTGAATTGGCCAGAGACCCTTGCAAGCTCCTGTGAAAAACATGCCTCTGAAATTTTACAACAAATTCTGCTGCAAAAATGTAATAAAGTCACAAAAGGGATAAACGTGTTCTTAAAAAAAGAAACGTTTTTGTAGAAATGGCTATTAATTTTTTGTTTGTCAGTAGATTCTGTGGTTTCAGATTAAGATCCCCCAGGAATATGTTGGAGCAAAGTGGGCCAGAGAACAGGGCTGTCCACTTTTTATTGTTGTAGTTTTATCATATTCGAGCCTTTATGTGGGTATGTTTATTTAGCATGCACAGTTTTTAAAGTTTTCATCGACGACTGTAAATGAACTGTCCTCTGGCAGTGTTTCATTGTAAAAAGCCTGCATTATTTTTGTAAAGTATTTATTAAGTTGTAGCTGCGTTTAGGTTGGGCATCTATGACTGTGGTTTAGTTATTCACACATGATGAATGCTAACTTGAGAATCTTTTCTAGTCTTCTTTTTTGTTGTTGTTGTTGTTGACATCTTTGTGCATATCCGTGTCTCTCAAGTTAGGATTAAATCAAAATACTGTGTATATAATGTGTGAATTCAACTTTAAGGACATATTTGTTTGATATGTAATTCTAAAAATAACAGACAATAAAAGAATTAGTCGATTTCAAAATAAATTTTCATGTTTAAATGTCACCGGAACATACCCCCCACAAAAGCTGGTCAGCCACCAGTTGAAAACATTTGACGTTTTCATGAAATAAAAAATCTGTCAAAGAAGACCCAGGACTGTTGAACAGCTAGAATCCATCAGACCAGAATGGGTCATCATTCCCTACAAGACCTCCAACAGCTGGTCTCCTCGGGTGCTGGTTTGCAGACTTGTTGAGAAGGAACGCCTCACAAACACGGCACAACTTTTACAAGTTTTGGTTCACCATTTAAAATGTTTACTATGTTCCGCTGGGAATAATTTAAAAGTTCCATCAGCTGAACAATAGTTCTGCTGTCGTTCCATCTCCGGGAAAATACGAAAAGCATCTCATCTAATCGATTACGCTCCTCCACCAGAGTTAAGCCGGCGCACAGGACTTCCATTAGTTCCATAAAGTGTGGCTGTCAGGCCTTTTGACGGGGATGTGATATTTCTTCAGAGGGCGAGGAGAGTACGGTTCCTTTGAATGTGACTCAGATTCTTTCTCTGGCATGTATCCACACATTCCTAAGTAATTTCTCAGTGGACGCACGTTCACGCACACACTCGAGCTCGCCCGTACGCGGGGACCTCTGACCATTCCCTCCCGGCTGAGCGCTGCAGTCATTGTCCCACAGAGAAAGCCTTTCATGGCGCCCTCATTCCTGCAGTCCTGTGCGCTGCACTGCCGGCTGGGTGCAGGGCTCGTCTTCGTGAAGCAGCAGGCCCCGGCACGTTCCCCCCCCTCTGCCCGAGGCGTGACTTGCCACCACCTAGTTGGTTCACTGTTCACACAGATCTCCTTTATGGACATCTTTTGTCAACAGCAGCACCTTCAGGTGCCTGCTGTAAACCACACAGGTATCAGACTCTGTTAAGTTATTTTTTGCCATCGTCTGTGCCTCCCCTGAGTTGAATCACTGTTTAACGGAAATATTAAAGTTTGCAGCATGGATCGTCATCCAACTGCAAGGATCAGACGGAAAGGTGTTCCACTTTTACTCTGAAACAGCTCAAATTAACGACATACCTCCCCCACCCCCACTCTGTATCTCTTCTCTCCACGTGTCTACAGAGCAGGCAGTTACTCGTGCACATTCCTCATTTTTCACTTACTGGCATCGGTACAACATGCACTGTGACTATTTGAGCCAAGGCACTGATATAGATGTAAAGTTGGAGAATGTAACTGGTGCGAGGTTGTAAAAGAGGGCAGACGAAGTGAGCACGAGGAAATTTGCTGCAAGTCATAGAGGCCTCGCTTTGTGTTGCTATTTTCAAGATCCCGTTCTGTGTTTTTTTTTTTTTTCCAAATACCGCTAAGCTTCATATTAGTGGTATATTGTAAGGGATTCGAAAGGGCTCATTAAACATCACAAAGATATGATTTTTGGTATTTTGCCTCTATTTTTGTTTGGAGAAGGAAACTATGTCAAAAGTACGAACGTGATTTAAAACCAAGTTTGGCAAGTCTGCTGCAGGGATTTCTCATCAGAAACAAAATGCACACAAGGAACAACTGGGAACAAAAGATCACATTTTCTGAAGAAGCCATAATGAAGTTGTTAAAGCTAAAAGAAGCAAAATACTAACTAAAAGCCATAATAAGTAACAAACGACTGGCTAAAAATTAAAAGTAGCAATGGTTAGTTGAGAGTGGCAACAGGCTAGCTACATGCTAAAAGTACAAAAAGTTAGTTAAACTGAAAGAAACAAAATGTTAGCTACAAGCTAAAAACAAACAAAACAAAAAAAAAAAGCTAACATTGAAGTTTCAAAATGATAACTGAAAGCTAAAAGTAGCAAATAGACTGCTACAAGTACAAAAAGGCTAGCAAAAAAGTATTTAAAGAAAGTTTAAAATGTAGAAGTACAAAATACTTAGCTAAAAGTACAAAAAGGCTTGTTAAAGGTATTAAAATGTAAAATAAAAGCAAAAAGTACTATTCTATAACATTAAAAGTACTAGCTAGCTAAAAACAAAAAGTTCAAAACAGCTAGCTAAAAGTATTAAAGTGTGCATAAAGGCAAAAGTATCAGTATCAAAAGCTAAAAACATTATATGAAAAGGTAACTAAAGCTAAAAGTAGCAAAAGGTTAGCTAAAAATATGAAACGACTAGAATCAAACTAAAACAAAAGGTTAACTAAGGCTAAATTATCAAACGGCTTGCTGAAAGCTACAGGTAGCAAAACCTAGCTAAAAGTAGCAAAAGGTAGCCAAACCATATCACAATATAGCAGGATGCTCGCTAAACGTCGCCTTCATACCTTGTTGCCTTCATACACCTCCTCCTCCTGCGTGAGTGCAGTTACAGCGTGCGCTCTCAGGACATTATTACCTGCAGTGTCCCCTCAGTGCAGACTGAACAAGGCAAAAGGACCTTCTCTTACTCCGCTACTGTTTCCTGGAATATCTTACAAAAAGATCTGACGCTCTCGACCTTGACCTCTCTGAGTGGCTTCAAACATCTGCTAAGTTCATGGCTAAAACCAATGCAGACATGTTCCTGTTTTTAGTTTTCTACATCGCTTTACAACCTAGCTGTTTCCGTTTCATTTTTTAAATACCATTTCTTTCATTTGCTCATCTCAATTTGTATGTTTTTTTATGATTGTCTACTGCTGTCATCACTCTTTATTAAAACCAGGTCTCTTGTAAATGAGTCCCCGAGGCTCAATGGCACTAACCTGTATAAATAAAGGATGAATAAACATGTCAAAAGGCCAGTTAGAAGTATGAAAAGAATGTCAAAAGAATAGTTTAAAGCCTAAAGTATAAAGAAGTTAGCTAAAGCACAGAAGCAACAAAAGGCTAGCGAAAAGTAGCAGAACAGCAGCTAAAAGCTAGTAGCAGAAAACAGCTAAAAATAGTAGATATAATAATTGAACGGCAGCTAAGAACTAAAAGCAGCCTAACATAAGAAGACAAAAATAGAGCAAGTATGCTGAATCAGATTTCAGAGAACAATATGTTTGAAGAAATTAAACGTGGAAATGTTTGTAAACAGTTGTTATTTTTTTTTTTAAGTCTAAAAATGACTAAAAGTAAAAGTCACGGCCCACAAGTCCTGAATGAGCCTAACCTTTTACTATAAGAATGAACACATTATGCAGAAGTGGTTAGACGCTGACTCTGCGCTCGATCACTGATAAAAACAAACGGGTTCGAACAGAAAGCCGTTCCGACGGGGTGAACGTTGAGGAGGTGAACTTCACAAAAACACAAGCTCAGGTTGCTAATGGAGCTCGCTGTGAATTCTCCAGCAGGCAAACGAGCAGGTTGGCTGGCATTAATCACATCCTTTTGTTCTGCGGTGCGCTGCAGATGTGGCAGAAGCCATTTATAGTATCTCTCCTTCACTTTCTTCGGCCGCTTTATGGGTGGTGGAGCGCACAATGCAGGAAGCGTCTGGGCCACAATACCACGCGGCTGCAACAGCTCGGCAGAGCTAATTAAAAGGTTTCGCTTTTGGTTTCTAATCTGACCCGGACCAGAAGTTTGCTTATCTAGCACCTACTGACCCCCAACCCTTCACTGTCAAACAGAAGATGCCACATGTGCTCTGCCTACTCACATATTTGGCACAGCTTCACAAGGGAGGAGTAGGTTGTGGAGGTCAAGGGGCAAATTTTCTTGGGTTTACAGCTGAGCAAACACGTGCAACATACAAGAGGGCACGGTGCCTTACTCAACGGTGAGGACATTGAAGAGAGGTAGCACCAGTGGTGTAATCTGATACAAGGGCATATGGAGTATACCCACTAGAAAAGCTTAAGAATTTCACCAAAGTCCATGCTCAATAATCCAGGTATACAATCCAACAATTTTCAGTCAGGTCATCTGGACAGTTTCTTTTTTTTTTTTGTGCTGAAACGTTTCGCCTTCCATCCAGAAGGCTTCATCAGTCAAGAAAACACACAACACAAATCTGATTCTTCCCCCAACAGCTTAGTCCAAAGTAGAACAAACCAGTTATGTTGGTGCTAACATGGTCCCTTTGGCACGCCCCCTCCTCCGGTGCCGGCCCTCTTCCTCGTCGACAGTCATGTCAATCAAAACAACAAAGTCCATGCTCAATAATCAGTATACTGAAATAATAATTTTAGTATACCCATTTAAAAGTGCCCAATGATACATGACATATTAGGCACGTCATTGATATGTTAAACGCTTCCGTAACAATCTTATCAGTATGCAGCGCTTATTACATTCGCTTATCCAGCTATTTATTGTATAATCAATACTTCTGTACTTACTACTTAACGCTTGAACATGTTTTGCTTTGATACGGTTTTATAAATAACATGTTTTTAACTGTTGTGCAAAGTTTGTTGTTCAATTGATTCAAATATAAGCATCAGAGAAACTTGGAAATGTTCAATACGCTTAAAAATCTAAATAAATTGACGACGTTGTACTAAGTACTTTGGTTTCTAAGCACAGTATACCCACTACAAAAATGTAGACTGCACCACTTGGTAGCACCCTAACCATAGTATCACCCTCCAAGGACAGGCAAAGGTGGACAATAATCTGTTTGATACCAAAATATCTCCCGAACCACCGGACGTGCATCTAGTTGAGTCAACCTGATTCAAGACTGAGCCGTACGTTTTGTGAACTCTACCAGCAGCTGAAGGTTTTGAAAGATTTGCTCCTGGATGATCTTCACTTTGAGAGTGCACTCTGACACGTAATGCGTTGGTGTGATGGTGTTGAGGGGGCTGCTGGCTCCGGGGTGGCGAGGTGAAGGGCCCCGGCGTGCAGTGCTGCATGGCTGTGATTCCTGGTGACAGCACCGCTTGGCATGTGAGGACAGCAGGGGCAGACAGGCAAGGCAGCAGCCTTTGATCTTCATTCGCTTCGTGTCTGTTTTGCATTTGAGAGCTGTGCTGAGCGTACGCCATTGGATACACCTTAAACGGCTCAGGACCGGACCACTGTTTAAAGACTCGGGATCTTTTTTCAAAGCCAAGAGGATCCAAAGCAGCAAGACATGATGCTGGGAGGGGGAGGTTCTATTTGTTGAATAGGGTCTCCCTGCAGCACTGATTAGCGTTGATGAAAAGCGCCTGCTCTGTAATAACACACGCTCGTGCCAGTGGAGAGTGGAGACTCGGGTTAGGAGCGAGGCAACGTTCATCTCACTTTGAAACGACTTTAAAGATCAAACCGGGGTCAGGTGGCTGTGAAATAAAAACAAACACGCACAGCATCCCTTCAGTTAAACATGCGATACCTCTGACCTCTTAAGATACATTCTGCGCATTAGTGGAGTCAAACGACTGTGGCACATTACACCTGAGAGGCAAACCAGCGTGTGGTCCGATCCCTCAGTCTGGCGTTTCTTCCTTCAAACACAGAGGAACTCTCGTTTCACAGTTCTGATGCACATTCCTCTCAGGTGGGCCACAACTGGTCAAAGTCATGCCCCATAAATGGTTCAAAAGTTCCACAAGTGCAAGTCGAGAGGAATGCATCCAAAAAAGACTACAAAACATTTAGTAACATCATTTTATTTATTTCATAGCACTGCACACATGTTCCAAAGCTTATAATATTTTATATTATTTGCATTTTCAAGTGAACAATAAAATGTTCAACTGGGGATTTGTTTGGGACCAGAATTCTTATTAACATATGGAAAAAAGCTAAATCTGCAGTGTCCCAAAGTCAGACAATAGCTCTACTCAAGTACAGTTCCAAAGCACCATTTCATGGGATATGATTGAATTAAATACACACACTTTTTGTTGTTGTACTTTTCTAGCAAGAAAATGCACCTCTTAGTTACTGGAATAATACAAATATAAACTGTGATTTGTAAAGGAGTAGCAGACATTACTCTGGACGTGCATAGCTTCCTTCTAGTTCAACTCAAACAGTAAAAGTGGCTTACTGTAGATTTTCTACAACCCACATTCTGAAGAAGTTGAAATGTGGTGTAAGCATTAAAAAAGCAAAACAAACAAAACAGAATGCAACTATTTGCAAGCGCACAAACCCGTTTTTACGATAGCTAACATTTCAAAAGTTAAAACCTATACTGTAACTTAGACCTGTTTTGTGGCATTTTTCTCACTGTGAAGCATCCCCTCTTCTTTTAACAACAATCTGTAAACATCTAGGGACTGTGGAGACCAGTAGTTGGAGGTTTTTGAGGGGGATGTTGTCTCATGGACGATTCTAGATCGTCTTTAATAAATTAAGTTGTTCTAGTCAAGTCAAATATACTTATAAAGCTCATTTAAAACAGCAGTTCTAAAACTTATACTATTTTTTAGCACTGATGGAGACCTCCTAGATATGTCCATCATGGCATTATTGCACCCCCATACCATCAGAGAGGCAAGCTTTTGAATTGTGCGCTGACAACAGATCAGATGGTTTCTCTCTTTAGTACGGAGACGTAGCATCCATGGTTTCTAAAACTAAATTCAAATTTCACTCTGACCACACAACAGTCCATTTTAAAAGAACATGGCCCAAGGAAGACGACAGCGGTTCTGGTTGGCGTTCACATCTGCCTTATTCTTTGCCTGATAGAGCTTTAAGCAGATGAACTGCGTTTACAGACGATGATCTGTGGAAGTGTTCTTGAGCCCAGAATGGAACCAGACCTGTTTTTACTGCAGTTGCCCTTGAAGGCATGAATATAACAACCATCAAATATTGACTTTCCCCCTTTGAGTTCAGAAATTTTTACTAATTATTTTAATCCAGTGGTTCCCAACTGTGGTCCTTGAGGAACACCATCCTACATGTTTTAGTTGTTTCCTTGCTTTGACGCACCTGATTTGAATGAATTTATGATTAACCGGCTTCTGCGGAACCCGAGGAAGTAAATAAATCACAGAATCAGGTGAGTTGGAGCAGGAAACAACTAAAACGTGCAGGACGGTGTTCCTCAAGGACCAGAGTTGGGAACCCTGCATGTTTTAATCTATTGATGAGATTGTGAACTATAGTCAATGATGTCACAGTCGTTACAATTTTTCATTGAGGAACATTATTCTGAAATTGTTCCAATGTTTTCAGACCGTTATTCACAGACTGTGTCCATCGTTACTCCTGAGACGTTCAACCTCGCCCAGTCCTCCTACTGACCTGTTGACAATTAAGCTAACTAGTTGCACCATTTGATGGTTACTGATACACTGAATAAAACACAGGTTTGTGAAATTTGCAAATCATTGCATTTTGTTTTTATTTACATTTAAGGAAAACGTCTGAACTTTTTAAAGAAAGAAGTTGTACATGCAATATCTATATATTCACTTTTTTTTAAGGAAAGCATTCTCAAGGCTGAAATAATAATAATGATGATCTGCAATCAAATCATAATGATTTATAAAGTATTAAATATGTTAAAGTTGATCTAGATACCACCACTCTGTTATATTTTATAGCTATGAGAGCTAAACACTTTGAGTAAGCGTTCCACAAGGTGCAGTCTGACATCTTTTTAATATACTGAGCAGTACATAATAATATAAGTCTTGCATTTCTTTAAGTGTAACATTTAACGTGTTCAACAACACAACATAACTTTATTAGCCACCCTGTTGACCTAAATTATAGCTTATGTACAAAAGGAAGTATATTCTTTGAGCTGGGCAACAAAACCACACACACCCACACACAAAGAGATCAAGGCAATGGTGCATCCAGTTTAATCCAGGTGACACTGGAAAAGTTACTGGGTTAGCTGGCATAGATTACGTACTGGAGGCAGACAGTGGCAAAGGGAAGTTCTGTAAGTGCACTAAGTAGAAGCTAACGCTCCTCGCTCCTTCCTGAACACCTATTAAAACAATGAAAGCTTTTTATCTCTGGCATCGCAAAGACTGTGGGAAGGTGGTGGGGGGGGGATGTTTGTGTCCGTGTGTGTGCACATTTTGCTCAGTTTATATGGGGAGTATTGCTAAGGAAGCCCAGAAAGTTGGAGAAACGAAGAAGAGATGGTGGTTCACTCCACCATCAACCGACACACCCCTCCCTCGATGGCCAAAGACTGTCCAGGAACGGTCCCGGGTGGCAATCTGGAAATGTGTGTCTGAAATAAATAATAATAAAAAAGAAACATCTTGGTAAATATAAGATGGTAAAAGCACATTGCAAACAAGAAAGGAAGATGTGAGTTTGTTATTCCACTTAAAAACCCTGATAACTTAAGGTGGTCCAGAAGTCCCTCGCTACTTCGCGGTTCGTTTTTCGCGTACTCGCTCTATCGCGTTTTTTTCAAAATAAGATTGGACATGACGCACAATTGACTGACTGGTGGATGAGCCGCACGATGGGGATTTTTAACTTAAAATTAATCATTTTAAATTACCATATTTCCCAGAGCTGCAGGAGAAGCTTCCTCCTGCAGCTGATCAGCTGATCTCCGCTCTGCAGCAGAGAGGTGGGCATGGCAGAGAGTGCTGATCATGACATTCTGTGCTCTTTTAGAACATTTAGAGTTTAGAGAAACATTGTATAGAATATTGCAAGAGTGTGGGAAGGGTTTACATGCTTTTATATATACTAAAATAAACTGCTACTACTTGTACTACTATTCCTACTTCACGGTTTTTCACTTATCGCAGGGCTTCAGGGTATGGATCCCCAGTGATAAATGAGGGACAACTGTACCTCACTGGGCGGCGACTGTTCTAGACAAGCTAGTGACTCAAAATCGTGAAAAAAATGATAAGAAAATAGTTATGTAACTAAGATTAAAAATCTGTGCATTACAAAACAAAGTTATGTAAAGTCTACTAGCTAATTTTAGCTGTTAAAATGCCTCCCTCTCATCGTGTATAATGTCTTGTTTGAAGGAATGTGTTCATTTGTTGGACTAGGCGTGCAGACGTGTTAACGGGGGAAGGGGCGCATGCAGTTGTGAAGGCAGGAGTGATACTTTCATTGGGGTATCAGAAGTGACTAACTCGCCCTGCGCCATTAATCGCTGTCATCCTCCTTCCCATCAGTCGCCACAAAGGCTAACACTGACTCCGTCATGGGGGAAGAGTGCATCCACTCATTAACCAGGTCATTGAATTGGCCTGACATCACTCGTCCAGATGCAGATGACTGGTGTTTTCTGGTGTGGGCTTAGAATTTCTCCACCCCGAGGGCAACTGTCACTACAACGGGACGACAGCGAGACAAGGCCAAGCACACATGGCAACACTCTCAGGGGCCATTATGCTTCGAGTAAGCGTCTCCGGGTTCATCTTGCCTTCATCTTCTGAGGACGAGGTTAAGGAAAGGTCTCATTTAAACTGTTTGAGAGGAGGTCCATGACTGAGTCACAATCAACTAATGGTGACGGGCTAAATGTTTTCCTTTTGATGCTAGCAAACCAGAGGAAAACGGTCTTCACACTGACTGCGGGGCTGAAAATGCCCACAGGGCACAGTCACCTACTAGCTGCATTCATTTATATGACTGTCCCATGAAGACTTTCAGACTTGAGATGTGTAAAATAAAAAGTGTCATCAATCTCTTAAGGCAACAACATGCAAACCTGTAACATTCACCTCAACACCTTAGTCAAAATGGAAGGAGAGGCACACTGTGCACAAGATGTTTGGTTAGAGTAGGCCTGTCGCAATAAACAATAAATCAATTAATCGCATGCTAAATGAAAATTATCGACCTCGTTTTCATTTATCAGCTTTATCGTCTCTTCGTGTCTCTCTCTTTCTACTGGACACTGGATGACAAAAGGCTCAACTCCGGTGCTCTTCAATGACCACTCCTTTTCTCTTTTCTCTTTAAAATCCGTTTTAACCGTCCAAACTCGTGTTTTTGGATTGTTAAAAGCAGCTAAGCTAAAAGGTTGACCTCGAGAAAAAACCTCCGTCTTGTCGAAACTCCAAAATTCACGGTTGAAACCCGTGCCTTCGTCTAAAAAGTTGTTCTTCTTCGCAAAAAGAAGCTGAGAACTTATTAACTGATTTTTTAAATTAAAAGCTTTATGTGACAAATGCTATGCTAAAGAGCTCAAACCACATCGAGCGTCCGCCATTTTGAGAACCGAAAAACAGGAACGCGAGACAACCCATGTCACGTCAAGGGGCCTCCCTCCCATTTTTCTTAAAGACACGCTGCTCGCTCTCTCACTATCCATCCTTCAGTTCAAACAGTCTTATACTGTCATCCGGTGGTCAAAAAAAGGTACTACATGCAAAAAAATCAACATTTCTTCTTAAATTTGACAATAATTACTAATTGTCAAATTTCAAACAATATTATCGTTTATCGCAATAATTTCTGAGACGATTAATCATCCAGCAAAATTTGTTATCGTGACATGACTAGGTTAGTGTGAGACTGAACATTAAATTACATTAAGTGTCTCTTGAAGCCAGTTTTCTTACATCCCATTACCACTGACATACCGTTTTGAATTAGAAATGTTGTGTTTTTGGATAAAACATATACGCATCTTCTTCACAAGGATTTCATGCTACTCAAAGTCAAGTGGTTTGAAAGAATACCAACGGTGGGATGAATTATGCAGCCGTGACATGAAAACTTTCAACATGTCTGTTTACAGCTCGTTACGTGATGAGCAAAGTACCACATGACAGGACTACGGCTAGCCAAAACAAAACATGAGAAAAATGGTTCAATTTGATCTTTTCGAGAAAAACAAAAGTCTTGGTGACACAAATGTGTTCAGGAGTTATTGAAGCCACACATTAACACCACAGAAGAAACAAAAGGATAAATGTCTGACTGTCCTGCTGGATTTTTTGTTTAGTGGTTGTCACATTCTTTCCAACTAGAATCACAAAAACAAAGAACAACATGTTGCAAAATCAACAGGAATAAAAGGGATGCCATAAGCACTGTCAGAGTCATGTTCTTTGACTTTTCCAGTGCTTTTAACACCATGAGACCTGCTCTGCTCTGCAGTAAGCTCCGGGACATGGAGGTGAACGACTCGCTGATCACCTGGATCAGAGACTACCTCAGAGGTCAGCCACAGTATGTGAGGCTGCAGAACACCACCTCAGACACCGTACTGAACAGGACAGGGGCCGGTCCTCTCGCCGTTTCTGTTCACCCTCTACACCTCGGACTTCAGGTACAACTCTTAATCCTGCCATCTGCAGAAGTTCTCGGATGACTCTTGCCATTGTGGGCTGCATCACTGGTGACCAGGAAGATGAATACAGAGGTGTGGTGGACAGAACCACCTGCAGCTCAACGCTGGAGAAACTAAAGAGCTGTAGGTGGACTACAGGAAGAAGACCAGCTCCCCCAACCCTATCAACATCAAGGGTACTAAGGTGGACACTGTGGACTGCTACAAGTACCTGGGGGTCCACCTAGACAATAAACTAGACTGGACAGCTAACACCAACGCCCTCTACAAGAAAAGGGCAGAGTCGCCTTTTTCTTCTGAGAAGACTCAGCTCCTTTAACATCTGCAGGACCATGCTGCAGATGTTTTACCACTCGGTGGTGTCCAGAGTCATCTTCGACGCTGTGGTGGGCTGGGGCAGCAGGGTGAAGAAAGCTGATGCCAACAGACTCGATAAACGCATCAAGAGAGCTGGCTCAGTTCTGGGAGTGGACCTGCAGTCTCTGACAGAGGTGTCTGAGCAGAGGATGCTGAGGAAACTGCTCCAGATCCTGAACAACACGTCACACCCCCTGCATGACACCCTGGACTCTTACCGCAGCACCTTCAGTCGTAGACTGAGACCACCCAGGTGCTCCACAGAACAACACAGGAAGTCTTTCAAACTTTTCAACTCTTCCCCCTTTCTGCACATAGAAACAATAAAATTAATCCTGCACCACAATAAACTTTGTGTGCACCTGTTTAGAACTTAATTGTTGGTATTTTTATATTCTCTGTTATTTTTTTGATATCTTGTGGGATTCCTTGTGTATGTTCCTTTGTACTGAAACTCTGGCACAACAATTTCCTGTGGGATCAGTAAAGTTCTATCTTCATCTAAGATGATAATTTAAATGTAAAAGATTGTATTTCTTCTATTTTTTTTCTGTAAAACAACTGATAAATGCATCATTCTCTTGCCAGCTGGCTAACTTTGAAGCCAGACAGAAGGCTGGGTCATTCTATCATGATGTGGAAAGAGCAACAGAACGTCGTGAGACAGAGCAGACTCTTGTTCATGAACCTGCAACCAAGAAAACATGTCTGGTATCTGACTCGAGTTAATGTATCGGCTGAATGTGGCCCGTGCCTCGGACAAAGTTTTTAAATTTGAGCTCCTTTTGGTAAGAGAGTTTGAGGCCGTCTCCTACGTTTATCTGAAGAATAAACATAAAATTTAAAGTTAAGACGATTCTAAAGAAAAAATGAGTTGATCCAACATAAACTAAATAGTGGTGCTGCTGTGTACGAGGCCTTTTATGTTCTTATCACAGAAAAGCAGTGGGAGATAAACTGGTCAGAAAGAAATGCCCAGCTACCAGGAATGGGAGGAATGTTTGAGGAGCCAAGACAGAGAATGACTATGATTAAAAATCTGTGCATTAAAAAAAAAAACTCTCTACGTCCAAATATTTCAGGTAAAGTAATAGTGTATTAAAAAGTATTTCACATTTTTACTTGGAGTTTATGACAAGAAAGAAAGATTATTTCTTACAGAAAACCTCTTCTTCTGTTCTTTTCCATCTCTGAAGCATCGCATCCCCACAGTTTTACCATCGGAGCCATGGTGGCACATGCTGGTTCAGAACACCGGAGACGTAACTGGAGCATGAAAGCTTTAAAGTTTCAGTCACTGCTTCTTTGTTGTAACCATCTGATTGTAGAGAAAACGGATACTGTGCACTGCGGTACCTTGTTAATGAACGTACAGGGCGTAGGCGGTGAGCAGTGGCTAGCTCTGCGGACAGAAGCCTCGATTTCCTTCAGTAAGGAGGCTCTGGTGTGCAGATGGCAAAGCACAGAGACATCAGAGCTTCACAGCTCAAACCCACAACTAGTTAATCACCCTCTGATAGCTCAGTGTGAGGTTTGGTGGAGCAGCTGTGATTCTGGCTACGCTCTCCGATATCACAGCTACCACTGGTCCCCCGAGAGGATGTGGATACCCACCCCCAAGAGACCCAAAGATGACTGCTGTCAAATATAGATCTGGTTTGGAGCTTAATTAAACCCCAAACATATGAACTAAATCTATGCAACGTTACACACAAAGCAACAGCCTACAAATAAAAGTAATGTGAGGGTATTCAGTTGACTGAATTGTGTAACACGATATAATAATCCTGCATGAATACACTATACAAATATGGATGATTATATCAATGAACCCACTGGTGACTTTCAATAAACCTTGTAGCGCTTTAAGTCCATGAAGTGGCCAGAAAGAGAGGAGCTGATGAAAGAGTCAGAGCATGAGTAAGAGAAAAGGACAAGCGAAGGGCTGGGAACAGGAGACGCAGGGCAAACACTTTGAAATCTGAACTAGACTTGAACAACAGTGCCTTCTGTTCATGCAGAGACCAGGTCTTTAGGTCCTACTGCTTAAGAAGCCGTAATGAGAGGTTTAAAACAATTATTGAATAAATAAAGAAAATGCTCAAATTTAAGTACAATGCTGTAGTTATAGGCACTGGGATATCATGTTTAGAAAATAAACGTCTCAGTTTGCAACATACGGAGTGACCACTGGTCTGGGTCTAGGGTCCTCCTTTTCACCTGGACACCTGGCTGGAAGTCCTGTTTGGGTTTCTGCTCTGCTTTCAGGAAGGCCCAGTTAGGACCAGCAAACTGGTTGATCCACTATAACAGGGATCTGCAACCTGAGGCTCTGGAGCCACATGTGGCTCTTTGCTCCCTCCACAGCAGCTCTTTCAAGCTTTGACCAAAACTAACATAAAACTGAATTTTATAGGATGTTTTACAAACAAACAAAAAAATGACTAGTTTTAGCAGTTTTCCTGTCAATTCCTTTGCAAATACAGTAGTCCCTCGCTACTTCATGGTTCGTTTATCGTGGACTCGCTCTATCGCGGGTTTTCAGAATAAGATTGGACATAACACAAAATTGGCCGATTGATGGATGAGCAGCACGATCGACATGGATTTTTTATTTAAAATAAATTATTTTAAATTATTTAGCACCTCCTGCAGCTTTGTGCAGCCCATACTGCAGGATAAACTTCCTGTTGCAGCTGATCAGCTGTTCAGCGTGCAGAGGGGAGGAGTGGGCGTGGCCAAGACCGCTTGCTGGTGGCAAAAAGCAGAGGAGGCAGGGAGCTGAAATCATGACATCCTGTGCTCTTTTAGAACATTTAGAGTTTAGAAACATTGTTTAGAATATTGCAAGAGTGTGGGAAGGGTTTAAAACACCTTTATATATATACATATATAAATATATAAATAATAAAATTAACTACTTAGTACTTAGTATTGATTACTACTTACTTTGCGGTTTTTCACTTATCGTGGGTCTCCCCTGCAATAAACGAGGGACAACTGTATGTAGATACTAATAATAATAATGAATTTAATTTGTAACGCACTTTTCATTAACAAAAATCTCAAAGTGCTACAGAGTGCAACTAAAATCAATGATACAATCACGTGGAGGCAGAATAGGTTTGCTTAAAAAGAAAAGTCTTTAAGCCTTTTTTAAAGTCAGTCAATGATTGTGGAGCTCTCAGAAAATCAGGGAGGGAGTTCCAGAGGCGGGGGGCAGCCACACAGAATGCCCGTTCTCCCATGGTCCTTAATTTAGTTCGTGGAAGGTGGAGGAGATGACTGTTCTGTGATCGTAGGGACCGGGGTGGATGAATATGGAGCAAGAAGGTCTTTCAGATAATCTGGTGAATTTCAGTATAAACATTGATGGTAATGAGAGCAATTTTGTACTGGATTCTGTAGGTGACAGGAAGCCAATGGAGGTGATGGAGAATGGGTGTAATATGTTCAAATTTACGAGCTCTCAATAAAATCCTGGCTGCGCTGTTTTGAATATATTGAAGCTTCTGAAGGTTTTTGCCAGGTATTCCAGTAAACAGGGAGTTGCAGTAGTCGATACTAGTACTAATATACAGAGTAAATTATATTCACTTTAACTTTATTTCTTCAAAGTAGAATACTCGATTTCTCCACAATAAAAAAACAACAACAGCATAAACCTGTACAATTAACTGTTTTAGTTGGATGGATGGAATCCAGTCATTTCTTTTGTCTTAAAATGTAAATCATTAGATGTTTTTAGTTTTATAATTTCACACCTACCGGTCAGAAAAGCCCCCTCTAGCGAACCTAAAGTGGCCCATGGGCCACTAGTTGATAATCACAACTGTAGCAGGTTTTGCGGCTCTGGACTCGTTTAATTTAGTGAACGAAGAGGCAGAAACGGCTCTTTTGATCCTAAAAGTTGCATGAGAAGGTGCTGCTTATGAGACTGAGTCCGTTGCAGCTTCTCAGACTGAAGAAGTCTTTTGGATAAAAGACGAAACATTTCAACAAAGAATCTGTCCGGACTCTACCTGTGTAGATCTGTTCCGGTGGCTTGATTTAAGCTTCAGTCCAAGCCAACGTGTAGGTTTTCTAAGCAGAACTTTTAAGCAAGCTGTTGAACTTAGATCAGTGGTCAAAGCATCATGGCTGCCAGTTCGTCCTGGTCTTGATAACATCATCATTAAACTTCTATAAAGACCGTACAGGGGCTTGTTTGGGTCACCCCACCCCCACCTCCAACAGTATAAATGTAGTTGCCACACAGTACATCTAATCAGAACCAAATGTTCACAATTTAAATTTCTGTTAGTTTATTCTGCAGAATTGACAAAAGAAAAGTGTTTTAGTCTGATGTCAAAATGGGGTTGAGGTAAATGAACATTTATTCCAAATATAAAAAGTACAAGTATTATGACATGGACGCCATCTTGGAAACATAACGCTTCCTGTCATAGGCACTGAGGAACAATTTAAGTCTTTTATTTTGCTTATATGTTTGTAAAAAGGTTTAGCGGAAGAATGAAACTCTTCCATACGTTTTGTTTGTGTTGGCATGCTGGGAACTCACCTTTGCTTTGCTGTCTCGTGCGGACATGTAGCCAACACACATGCTCTCTGTGGTGTGACTCCACAGGAACTCCACTGAAAACAAACAGACACAATGATACAAACTACACAAACTTATCAGAGTTTAGGCGTCTTTTGGTCGTGATGTAAACCGTTAGAACGGCTGTTAACCTGCAGTGATAAAGGAGAAGCAGGGGGTAGATGTACGAGATTATTAGAGACACTAATAAACCACTAAAAAGGATGTGGTTCATTATATTTATTCTTATATAATATAAAACTTTGTCATTCAAATTTGTACGGTGCACCAGGCCATATTGAATGAAATTTTGTAGGAGTACATAATTTACATGCATTTTATAGACTTTGGTGTTTAGAGTGGTCTGTGTGTGTGTTTGCTGTTGTGGTCTCTTCATTAGAGACCTGAGTTCAGCAGTCTAAGATCACGGGATGAAACTGTTGCAGAACCTAGTGGTTCTGGTCCTCAGGCTGCGGTACCTCCAGCCAGAGGTCAACAGAGTGAACTGTCCATATTGTGGGTGTGAGTTGTCTCTTTTGATTTTATTGGATCTGTTCAGACGGCATCCGAGACCAATGTCCTGGATGGATGGGAGGAGTGTCCCAATGATCTCTGCCGTTCTCACCATCCTCCTCAAATCCTTCCAGTCTGCAGCCGGGCAGCTTCCTTCCCAAACTGAGATGCAGCAGGTCGTGACGCTCTCGATGGTTCCTCTGTGGTGAGGACATGGGGTGGGAGGTGTGCTCTCTTCAGCCTACACAGGAAGTGCAGACGCTGCTGGACTTTCTTCACTGGGGACCCCGTGTTTCTTGACCAAGACGGTTGATGGGTTATGTGCACCCCCAGAAACCTGGGTGCGCATAACCAATCAGCTGTCTTGGTCAAGAAACACTGGGTCCCTTGTGACTCAATAGTCTGTTGTTTCTGCTAAAGTTTACAAAAACTACTAAACTTAGCTTGTTTTCATTAGTTTTATTTGGTGCATCATGTAAATTCAATTCAATTCAAATATACTTTATTAATCCCAGAGGGAAATTAAGTGTTGTCGTAGCTCATCGTCCTGGTTTAATTCAAGAGTTGTTATAGATGCTGATAGCTGTGGGAAGGAAGGATCTCCTGCAGCGAATGCGAAGAATCTGGCCACAGATAGTGATCCGTACACCCAGATCCAGCTTGTTGTCAGACCCAGCGGGCCTCTCGGTCCTCCTGGGCAGCAGGACTGCCTGAATACCGGGCAGAATTCCTCCCTGACCGATGGTCACTCCTCCCAGCTGTCTGCAGAGCTCCTCGTCGCCACGGACAGACAGCTGAAGGTGCCGGTGGATGATCACAGTCCTCCCGTTGTCATGAGCCGAGTTTCCCACCAGCTCCAGGATCTCGGCGAGCACAGCAGCTATAGGTTGACGGGAATTCGTCCACGGCGCCTCCTTTTCAACTCATTTGGGATTTGGGGCTGTAGCTGAGATATTTGAGCTTTTGAGATGTTAATCAGCTGCTCCTGGATGTTAAAAAACACCTTGTTGCCATGGTTACGCATCATAACAAATGCCCAAATGTTAAAAACTGTCAGTAAAAATCCTTCAAGCTGCACAGCATCCGATACAGGAGGAAATAATCATAAGAAAAAAGCGATTTACATCCAGAACAAAGAGGAAGTAAAGTTTTCAAAAGCAATATCTCAGAATGAAAGTAACAGAGCTGCTCCAACATGCAGCCACGCCGAGTGGCGCAGATAACACCTAAACTGCTTTTTAATTTCTCTTTATTCAATAGCCTTACTTTTTCACATTCAATACAGTAAAGTTGATTTGCAGATGAACAAAAACCTAGAAGTAAATCATAAAGACTAAACTTTGAAGACAGCTCAGACGGTGTTTAATTAAATGCTGGCAGTTTGGAGAGTTGATTGCACAAGTCAAAACACAAACCACCTGCCAGAAAGGCACGCCCTTTTCTTCCCGTTCATCTAACGACACGTCGGCATGTCACGGCTAAACCACTGCCCTTCATCAGAAGGTTTGAGAGCATCTGAAATTATTAACGTCTTACCCAGTATACCCTGAATATTCGGCGATGGCTGAGCTTCCACGCATCTGCAGCTCCTCAAGACAATGACTCCGCCCAAAACACGATCCTCACCGGCCAGAAAGGGCGAGCCTAGACACACAAAGACAACAACATGCTGACGAGTACAAACAGTATAACACAGAGAAGTTCTCCTGACTCTTTTAAATACGCTAGACTCTATATTATATAATAATAATAATAATAATAATCATGCACAGTAAAGAGTAAATCAAGGGGAAAAAAAAGCAAATAAATCATTTTGACAGCTGTTAAACTATAAAAATGAAAAAAGTGCATAAATAAGGATGAATCAAAATTAAAATATTAAACTTCCAAAATGTTTATAAATACTAAAAACACTAAAAAACTGATGTGGTTAAAAATAGATGTGCAACGCGAAGTCAGAAGTAACGATCTGTCTATGAAACTGGCAGGAAAGTTACAAATAATCCTGAAGCTGAACTCATCCTTCAGGTTGTACCTTCACTGGTGATATAACATATAACATTTTGCAGCACTGTACAGTACATATACTGTACATATGTTGTTAAATTTACATAGGTTTAAGAGTTTAGAGCAGGGCTATTCAACTGGTGGCCCGGGGGCCAAATTAGGCCTACGGATGTGCTCAGTTCGGCCCACCAATGGGTTGTTTTTTAAATAAAATTAGATTTTAAACCGTAAAACAAACTTACCTAATGACAATAACTGATTGATGTCCGGCCCCAAGCTCTTGTCTTTCAATAACTGTGGCCCCCAGAGCAATTTAGCTGAATAGCTCTAGTTTAGAGCATTGCAAGAATGTGGGAAGGGATTATAAAGCTTTAAATATATATATACAGTAAATGTTAAAATAAATATAACGACCCTACTTCGCGGATTTTCACCGATAAGTGAGGGACTACTGCATTTTGTTTCTTTGAAGGTCAAAATGAAGACCTTAAAACCAGTCAAACCTGGTTTGTATGAAATAGTTTGGTTTAGTTTAGAGGCATTTTGACCATTTTAACTAGAACCTGTGATTCTGGCTACACGAGCTTTAAAACTGCCATTCCACTCAACGATCACCTCTAATGTTCTTGCCTCCAGAACTGGATTAAGCCCCGTGTTACTGAAACTTACAGACACTTTCTCTCTCTCTGAAGTCTTTGGAAGTAAATACCCAAACCTCTGTTTGATCCTGGCTGGAATACACAGAGCACAAGTCTTTTAATCAATTGAAAGGGATCTTTGGGATATCCTCTTTCCATTCTGGTTATTTGCATTTAAAGCCAAGTTAAACAAGTGGAAGTGATTATTCTATTCAGATGCAATTATCTTCTTTAGTAAACTGCCAAAAAAAAAAAAAAAATCAGTACATGCATGTGGACAAAACTTATAGCTGAATGACAGGTAGTGTATATGTAAATTTCTGATGTACACGCAACTATTAAACAATATGAAAATTATGTTTTAATTGCACAAAACAAATCTTGAAAAAGAACCCCCATTAGAATAAAGTCCTCATTTGTTCGATGATCCAACTGCAAATGAATGAGGTGTTGTGTTGTGCAATAAGACAAAAAGACTTGGCTTGGGCAGGAACAAACTACAAGCAGCTGTAGCATGTCCTCGTCTCAAAACAGCAACAAGAAGAAAGAAAGAAGGAAAAAAATCAGGACCAAATGGAGAATTTGATGAAAATATTGTGTCTGCATTCCACCGCTGCTTTAAAACAGATTTCTTTTCCATCCTAAAATAAAGCTGCTTTTTACTCCACGAAGCATTCTTTGTTTGCGTAACCTGGAAAACCTTAATGCAGAATTGGGTTTTGTTGTTGTACAGTTAAAAAAAAAAACAACTATATTATAACGCAGATATATTTTCATATTGTTGTAAACACAAGAATTAAAACCCAGACTGCACAATAGACTGCTCGGAACTGGGTTCAAGTAAAAAATACTGTTAATATATTTAACAAAACTGTGTTTTTATGTTGAAATTAAAGTATTCACTAGAGATGCAGTGTGAATGCTTATTGCTGAAGAACTTGCTGAAAAACAGCTGAAATTGGCACAAAAAAATGCTGAAATGTAGCTGAAATGGAAGAACATGCCTAAATTAGCAAAAAAAAAAGCAGAAAGAACACATATTTGCTGGATTAGGTTTAAATAAGCAGAAAGGAGCATAAAATTTAGGAAATTAGCTAAAAGAAAAAGCTGCAATTAGCAATAAAATTGCTGCAAATTAGCTGAAGAGGCACAAAGCAGCTTAAGCTACCAGAAAGAAGTGGAATGAGCTAAAAAATGTGGAATTAGCTGAAAAAGCTATATTTAGCACAACTGCTAAAAAGTAGCTGAAAATTCAGAAAAAGCTAGAACTAGCAGGAAAAGCTGAAAGGAGCATAACAAGCTGAAATTAGCAGAAAGAAGTTAATTAGAATGAAAGTAGTAAAAATTACCATAAAAAAACGAATTTATATGAAAACAGCTGAAACTACGGTAGCTAAAAAAGGTTTTTTTAAAAGTTGCTGAAAGGTAGAACAAGCTTAATTAGCAGCAGAAAGAGCATGTTTGCTGAAAGAAGCAGAAATTTGCACAAAAAGTGGAAATTATCTGAAAAAAGCTGAAAAGTAGCTAAAAAGGCAGAACGAAGCTTAAATTACCAGAAGTGGAGAGAACACATTTTTGCTGAATTAGGCCGAAATTTTTTTTTCAAATGAGTGCAAAAATGTGAAAAATTTGCAGAAAAACAGCTAAATAGCTGAAATAGCCACACAAAAAAAAAAAAGCTGAAACTTTCCGAAATAAGCTGAAAGGAGCATAACAAGGTGAAATTTTATCTGAACTGTGCAGCACCTCTGTGTGTTGTCTCTGGACATGCTCACAGCCCTTTTGGTCCCCCCCCACCATGTCGGTGTCATTATGTGCTCATTGTGTAAGGTTTTTTTTTTCATTATCATGCTGTTAACCTTCAGCCAAAGATTAAGAGCACGTTAGGTTTTGTTTTTTGCCTCCAAACCCTGTGTGTCATCTTCACCACTTTTTATTGTCTGCCCAAACAGGTCTCACTTGTAAATGAGTCTTCGAGGCTCAGTGTGACTCATCTGTTTAAATAAAGGTTGAATGAAAAAAAAATTATTGGCAGAAACAAATTAGAAAAAGCACAAAAATGTTGTAGTTAGCCAAATGAATTTGAAAGGAGCACAAAACAGCTGAAAAAACAGCTGGATGTAGCTGAAAAAGAGTTTAAAATTTACACAAGGAAGCTGAAAGAAGCTGAACGTTTTGATTTATGATTTGCTGAAATAGCTTAAAAACTGCGGGATGAGAATTGCACTGAAAAACGTACAGAAGAAAAAAAGGATCACAGTGTGAACGTTTCATAAACATTAACTCTATTAATGATGAATGCTGCAGACGTCTCTTAATCGCCATTAAGCCGCTGACTGTCTCTACTGCTTGTGCTAAGGCTGGATCTACGACGTTTAATTTAACCTGATGTGCGTTTAAGAGGAACCAGAAGAAGAAATAACTTCTTTGAAACGACTTCTTTTAGTCTGTCTTCTGCGTTGTAAATAATCATTACTGAGCCAAAACTGGGACGGACTTCCAGAGGCCAGAAGGAGGCTGAAACCACTGCACGTATCCACACGTCCCGTCTTTGTCTTCAGTGCAACCCCGTGGTCGTTCACTTCACAGCAAACGCACTTAACAAGGATTTCTAAAAACTGACCACTTAAGGGAATGTAACTAAATTACATCTTCAAATAAACACGCGACAGAACAATTATGTCTTTCTAAAATTATCCGTGGCTGTCGCTGTGATGTGTGGAGCATTTCAAAGTCCTATTTAAACGGTGAAACGGAGTCATAAATCAAAATTTGTCTCTTTTGATTCTATTTTTTTCTTTAGGTTTCCTGCGGTTCACTCAGTCCTCGTGTTAAATGGCATCTGCTTGTTAAATTTTCTTGATGTTCTTCCCCAAAACACGTTCTTTGCTTGCAAAAAAAAACAATGTGCTGTGTGGAAAGAGGAGGCAGTGACGACTCACTGATGAATTTGTTTTGCATAGCCTCCAGCAGCGCTTGGTGGGCATCTTCAGACTGCATGGCAGCAGAGCACTCGCGAGCCAGCATGGTGCGGATCAGATGCTCTCCACACCCTGGAAGAAAAACACAGAAAGAGTCCAAGTCCACGCCGTCTAAATGGCCTTCAAACGAAAATTCCAGGATTTCATTTTTCTTAAGTTACAGTGCCTTGTGAAAGTATTCGACCCCCATGAACTTTTCAACCTTTTGCCACATTTCAGGCTTCACACAAAGATATAAAAGTTAAATTTTTTGTGAAGAATCAACAACAAGTGGGACACAATCGTGAAGTGGAATGAAATTTATTGGATGTGTCAAACTTTTTTAACAAATAAAAAACTGAAAAGTGGGGCGTGCAATATTATTGGGCCCCTTTACTTTCAGTGCAGCAAACTCACTCCAGAAGTTCAGTGAGGATCTATGAATGATCCAATGTTGTCCCAAATGATGATGATGATAAATAGAATCCACCTGTGTATAATCAAGTCTCCGTATAAATGCACCTGCTCTGTGATAGTCTCAGGGTTCTGTTCAATGTGCAGAGAGCATCATGAAGACCAAGGAACACACCAGGCAGGTCCGAGATACTGTTGTGGAGAAGTTTAAAGCCGGATTTGGATAAAAAAGATTTCCCAAGCTTTAAACATCCCAAGGAGCACTGTGCAAGCAATCATATTGAAATGGAAGGAGTATCAGACCACTGCAAATCTACCAAGACCCGGCCGTCCCTCTAAACTTTCATCTGGAACAAGGAGAAGACTGATCAGAGATGCAGCCAAGAGGCCCATGATCACTCTGGATGAACTGCAGAGATCCACAGCTGAGGTGGGAGAGTCTGTCCATAGGACAACAATCAGTCGTACACTGCACAAATCTGGTCTTTATGGAAGAGTGGCAAGAAGAAAGCCATTTCTCAAAGATATCCATAAAAAGTGTTGTTTAAAGTTTATCACAAGCACCTGGGAGACACACCAAACATGTGGAAGAAGGTGCTCTGGTCAGATGAAACCAAAATCCAACTGTTTGGCCACAATGCAAAACGATATGTTTGGCGTAAAAGCAACACAGCTCATCACCCTGAACACACCATCCCCACTGTCAAACATGGTGGTGGCAGCATCATGGTTTGGGCCTGCTTTTCATCAGCGGGACAGGGAAGATGGTCAGAATTGATGGGAAGATGGACGGGGCCAAATACAGGACCATTCTGGAAGAAAACCTGTTTGAGTCTGCAAGAGACCTGAGACTGGGACGGAGATTTACCTTCCAACAAGACAATGATCCAAAACATAAAGCCAAATCTACAATGGAATGGTTCACAAACAAACATATCCAGGTGTTGGAATGGCCAAGTCAAAGTCCAGACCTGAATCCAATCGAGAATCTGTGGAAAGAGCTGAAGACTGCTGTTCATAAACGCTCTCCATTCAACCTCACTGAGCTGGAGCTGTTTTGCAAAACTGATGGAGACAAACCCCAAGAGACTTGCAGCTGGAACTGCAGCAGAAGGCGGCGCTACAAAGTATTAACACAAGGGGGCCCAATAATATTGCACGCCCCACTTTTCAGTTTTTTATTTGTTAAAAAAGTTTGACACATCCACTAAATTTCATTCCACTTCATGATTGTGTCCCACTTGTTGTTGATTCTTCACAAAAAATTAAAATTTTATATCTTTATGTTTGAAGCCTGAAATGTGGCAAAAGGTTGAAAAGTTCAAGGGGGCCGAATACTTTCGCAAGGCACTGTAGTTTTCAGTGGGGGCAGCATGGTGGCTCATTTGGTAGCTGTTGCCTCTCAGCGAGAAGGTCACCGGTTCAAATCCTGGAAGGGGACATTTCTGGGTGGAGTTTGCATGTTCTCTCTGTGCATGCGTGGGTTTTCTCCGGGTACTCCGGTTTCCTCCCACAGACCAAAAACATGCATGTTAGGCTGATCGGTAACTCTAAATTGTCCCTAGGTGAGAGTGAGAGAGTGAATGGTGATATGGACACCAGTGACCCATGCGATAAGGAAGCAAGCAAGGAACGGAGGGAGGGAGGAAGCAAGCAAGGGAGCAATGGAGGAAGGATGTATGGATGGATGGTTGGTTTTCAGTGGCATTATTTTCTGTATTAGTTTCCCTCCACGTCACGGGTCAGGGTTGCACTCATGGCGACATCGATCACCTTTAGCTTCATTTATGTCAGAACAAAAACAAAAAGATTTCATGACGTCACAACATTCACTTCCACCCACTCGTTTTCATTTTCTCACCGTTTAAGAAGCTCCGGCTCTTTCCAAAGAGTTTAAATATCTGCGCTGCTCAATTTACGTATTAAGATTGTGCTAACCATCTTTTCATAACCTAAACCTGAACAACGCCGTCACTTGTTAAAGTCCCAAATGAAAAATAAAAACATTGAGTCAAACAAAACACAAGGTCAGGTTTAGACACATAGTTGCTGAGCAGAAGAAGGGACACAGATCTTAACAGTCTCCACAAGCTTGTACACCACACCACTTATTTAGCCTTCTTTCACCTACATCACTTCTAAAGAACACAGCAGATGTTCTTTTTACTCATCGAAAACTGTTTTCCTTTCACAGTTCAGAAAGCACTTGGACCTGAAATCTATTAGGAGGTTGCTTCCAAGTAAGTTACACAAACTGAACGCATGTGGCACGTTATCAAAATAAATATAAAGTTTGCCCGTATGCTAATGAAAACAACAAGAACACTTGAAGTGAAAATAAAATCCATCTGACAAAGCTCTGGTGGAAACTCGTAAAAACTGCAGAATATGGCCTCGTTGTTTCTGTAAACAAACTTAATGCTCCCATAAAACATCAGGTAACTACAACAGAGCTGAACGCAGGTCGGTAACCGTGGAAACCAGAAGCCCGGAGCGATTCCTAGCTCCGTGGAAAGCTGGACCAGCTACGAAACAGAGTCGTTCACACTGTTTACCACGAACCCCTCCGTCAGAGGGAAACCGGATATCAAACAGTCGAACTGAAAGACGAGAGCGGACAAAATCAGAGCTCCGGCTGAACTCGAATCGGAGAAATAAAACAAAAACTAGACGGCGCGAGGCGGTCAGAAGCCGTACGAGTAAGCAGCCATGTTTGTGAGTTGTTGACCACAGCAAAGAAGCAGTAAAATATGACCCACACGACCTGACTGAAACAGAGGAAACAAAGGGCGGAGGAAGCGTGTGCAGCGTTTGGTAAGGTGAAAAAAAAAGAGGATCGCACTCCTTGTGTCACATTAAAACTTGTTGCTTTTGATAGAAACGTCTTTTATGTTAGGAAATTGAAAACAGGTGTGCTGGAACACACGCTGTGCCTCCCAGAGGCTGGCTTTGTGTTGCTCACATCAAAGCAACACAAAGCCACAGTGTAGAAAGACTGCGGGGTGTGAAGATACATAAAGGACAACATCTCCACTTGATCTGCAAAGATAAGAGACGACTAGCAGACGTTCATGAACGTGGATGGTGGTCTCGAGCTGATTGGAGCTGCAGCATGGCAATAAATCAATTAAAGTGGAAACGACACGCTCACCGTGGGCTGCGACTGTTGAACTAGTTGGATTTAAATTTGTGAGAAATGTGCAAATATTTTCCAACAATTCTCAGTCAGGTCATCTGGACAGTTTCTTTTTTTTGTGCTGAAACGTTTCACCTTCCATCCAGAAGGCTTCATCAGTCAAGGAAACACACAACACAAAACTGATTCGTCCCCCAACACCTTACTCCAAAGTAGAACAAACCAGTTATGTTGGTGCTAAGACGGTCTCTTTGGCACGACCCCCTCCTCCGGTGCCGGCCCTCTCCCTCGTCGACAGTCATGTCAAACTGCTTCAAAACCAACAAAGTCCATGCTCAACTGCTCATGCTCAGTCATGCTTGACTGATGAAGCCTTCTGGATGGAAGGTGAAACGTTTCAGCACAAAAAAAGAAACTGTCCAGAAAACCTGACTGAAAATTGTTGGATTTTATACCTGGATTATTGAGCATGGACTTTGTTGGTTTTGAACCAGTTTGACACGACTGTCAAGGGAGAGGGTCGGACTAGAAGAGGGGGTCGTGCCAAAGAGACCATCTTAGCACCAACGTAACTGGTTTGTTCCACTTTGGAGCAAGCTGTTGGGGGAAGAATCAGTTCTGTGTTGTGTTTCCTTGACTGATGAAGCCTTCTGGATGGAAGGTAAAACGTTTCAGCACAAAAAAAAAGAAACTGTCCAGATGACCTGACTGAAAATTGTTGGATTGTATACCTGGATTATTGAGCATGGACTTTGTTGCAAATACTTTGCTGCAGTCTCACTTGCTTTTTCTATCTGCGACCAAGCAGCCGCATTTTGAGTGACCTGTTTTTGAAAATCAAAGTCATGTGCAAAGTTGTTGTTTTTTTTAAGTTGAGCACTATATTTTGTAGCCCACCTCCTCCCACTTTGGCAGCCAACCCAACATTTGATTTATTGTACCCGAGTACCAGAGGTGGAAAGAGTACTGAAAATTTGTACTCAAGTACAAACTGTTACACTGCTTAAATTGTACTCAATTACAAGTAAACATACTGGTGTTATAAAAATACTTAAGTAAAAGTACAAAGTACTCGTCACACACAAGTCGCATCAGTCCATATTTGTCTAATAAAGTGGAAAAATCCATAAATATGTTGCTTCGTCGTATACGTCACATCTATTATGCGTCACCGCTGACAACTCGAAAATGTGGAACGGTGTTGTGCCAAAAATCGATGGGCTGCCAAATGGCGGCCGCGGGAGCGTGCACGGGAGAACTTTAAGACGAATTTAACAAGACAAATGCCTAAAAACAATTATTTGTTTGCTCGAAATTATAGCAAACGTGTGTATCAGTCTAACATTTGCTTAATAAATGCACTTTAAAGGTCAAATTAGCTGCATTTTGCCGTGGCGGTGCAGCTGTTTTGACGGTTCCAAGCAGCGAACAGAATGAAGGTGGGGAGTCTATGGCAGGCCGATTGTGTCATTAATAGGTGGTGAAGATTCTCAGTCATCCAGGTCATGGTAAATTCAAAAATGTTCAAGAAAAAAAAACAAAG